ATGTAATATGTTGATTATATAAGCTAATTCTTAATTGTAATACCAATTTAGACAGCGAATAACAACGAAAAAGGCAACTTGGCCGAGTGGTTAAGGCGAAAGATTAGAAATTTTTTGGGTTTACCCGCGCAGGTTCGAATCCTGCAGTTGTCGCCATTTCTTTTTTTGGTGAATTTCGCATTTTTTTTGCTGCTTTAAGGTCTAAACATAGTTATAATGTTAGTGGTTTAATCGTATTGTTTTTCTAAATGTCTTTTTAATGGAGTTTTACTTGTATTTGTATGTGATTTTCGTCCGTGGGTATAATTGAAATTCGGATTTTAAAAAAATTGCTAATTGCGAATTGCTTAATAGGTAGTTCAAGCCGGTCTATATATAAGAAAATCAAGTCCGAGACTTTAAATTGTTAGTAATTAATACCAGTATCAAAATTAGTTCTTTATATAAGTACAATATTCCATTGCTTTGAATCATATCAGAACCATTGAAATCGATAAATCAAGATATTCAATTGCACTAAGACAACATACATCATGGCTGGTTATCCAAATCCTTTAGGTGGTATTACAAGAAGATTAAATCAAACAACAACAATTCATTCAACATCTTTTAAAAGAGGTTCATATTTAAATTTTGGTAATAGAACTGCAATTATTAATATTCCAAATACAAATAAATTAATCATTTGGAGTTCAATTCCTGTTGGTAAAGAATTAGAATCTGTTATAAATGAAGCTTCTAAAAGTTTAACAGGTGAAGTGGAAATTATTGCAGGTATTATACCTGATAAAGAACATACAATGGCTGCAATTGATTTGAAAAAAAAATATCCAAATATTTTTTTAATTGGACCTTCTGGTATTACAGATAAACCTGATTTAAAATTAGATTATATTTTCCAAGATTCTGAAGCAAATCAAATTGTTAAAGGTTCTTCAATTTTAAAAGATTTAATTAATTTAGATTTTATATTTTTAAATGGTCATATAAATAAAGAATTAGTTACATTTGATAAAAATACTCATACTTTATTTGAAGCTGATTTATTATTTAATATTCCATGGGATGGTAATAAAAATCCTGAACAATATCCAAATTTTAATCAAAATTCAGGTATGTCATTCTTAACAAGATTTTTAAATTCAGATTCAACAATTGGTAGATTTTTATTAAGAAAATTAATCCCAATTAATCCAAATAATCAAAAAGGGATAAAAGCAATTTATAATGAATTTGAATTTGATACAATTGTTCCATCTCATGGTGCTATTGTGGAAAAAAATGGTAAAACTGAATTCCAAAAACTTTTCTGTACTTATTTATAATATGGGTATAGTATAGCTACATGATTTTGATTTCAATTTAATAATTTAATGTTTCTAATATACACATGTAGTTAACTACAACACCCACCTCTTTAGAAAAAAATTTCATCCTTCACTTAAAAATCATCCCATTTTTCATCTTCTTTTGATGCAGCTTTTCTACTTGATAAACCTTGTAATTTAGTTTTATTCTTAGGTTTTTCAATACCAAAAGCAGGTTTTATACCATCTTCATCACCTGCATTTAAATCATCAAATAATTTACCATATTTACCACCACCATTTGTTTGATCATGATTTATTAAATTTTTATTTAAATTATTTAAAGCATCATAACCATAAGCACTTGTTTGTTGAAATTTTTGACCAAATTGTGCAGCGGCTCTTTTAGCTTCATTTGTATAATCATGTTCATCTAATTGTTGAACACCAGGTTTTATAACAGTTTCATGAACTTCACCAACAGATTTAGCAATTGTACTTGAAAAAAGTCCCCAACCTTTTGTAAAAGTTCCCAAAGGATCACTTTGGAAATTATCTAAAGTGAATGAAGATAATGAACCACCATTACCTCTTGTATTTGATTGTGATGGTTGTGGAGTATTACCAAAACCTGCATATTTACCACCTTGACTTGGTGCAACACCTTCAGGTCTTGATTCATTTTTGGCACCTAAACTTGCAAAATATGATTCATTTTTAGCCTTTTGTTGATTTATTGGGGCGTTATTTGATGGTGTTGGAGTTCCCTTTCTTGAAGTTAATGGTGTATTACTATCACTTGTTGAATCAGTAGTGGCAGATTGAACATTTGTTTTTGGTAATTTAGAATAATCTCTTGGAGTAAATGATTTACCTTCCAAATCTGCAGTTAATTTTTCCTTATAATCTTCAGCAACTGGATTATCATATTTTAATTTTGGTTCACTTTGTAAATCAATACCATTTGATTCTAAGAATTCAGCACATTTTTCATTCCCACCTAATTCCATTCTTTTAACTTCTTCAGGTTTGAATTGATCCATGGTGATTGATCTCACAAATGAAATATGGACACCAAGACCACGATGAATACCAGCACATTCAAGACAAATAAAGATTCCAAATTTTGGTGAAGCCCATTGTGGATTTGGGGCATTACAATCAAAACATCTCTTGTTACCACCTGTTTTTTGTAGGGAGAGCAGTTTTCTTCTAGTTTCCGGGTCCACTGTCCAGTCTGAGCCCATGATGTCCTTGTCCTTGTAGCCCTTGTAGTCCTTGTCCTTGTAGTCCCTTGTAGTAACTCCTAATCAAAGCCTTTTCAAAGCCTTTTTTGATGTCTGTTTCGTTTTCATCGACGATTCCAAAACAAACCCGCGAATTTTAAATTTCTGTCAAAATAAAAATTGATTTGAATTTTTAAATACCGAGGAAGTTTTTTGATCTCAAAGAAAGTCAGATTCTGTGGGGATTTGCAATACTATTATAAAAAGAAGACTATTTCCATTTCAAATTGAATTCTGTTTTGTTACAATTCTCAAAGGGACACAATGGTTTTAGATCAATCATACTTGCAAAGAACTTCGTACAAACAGGACATCTTCAAGGGCAAAGTCGTCTTTGTCACCGGTGGTGCTGGGACTATTTGTAGAGTCCAAGCTGAAGCTTTAGTGTTATTGGGTGCAAACGCCGCTATTATAGGAAGAAATGAAGAGAAAACAGTGAGTGCTGCTAAAGAGATTTCTCAATTAAGACCAGGTGTTAAAGTTATTGGTGTTGGTAACACGGATGTTCGTAATATCAAAAGTTTACAAGCTGCTGTTGATCAAACAGTTAAAGAGTTAGGTAGAATTGATTTTGTTATTGCAGGTGCTGCTGGTAATTTCCTTTGTGATATAAATTCATTAAGTGCAAATGCTTTCAAATCTGTTATTGATATTGATGTTCTTGGTAGTTATAACACTTTGAAAGCTACTTATAATCAATTAGTTAAGAATAAAGGTGAAATTATCTTTATTTCTGCAACTTTACATTACCAAGGAACTCCATTCCAATCTCATGTTTCTGCTGCAAAAGCTGGTATTGATGCACTTTCTCAAACTATTGCAGTGGAATTAGGTCCATTAGGTGTTCGTTCAAATATAATTGCTCCAGGTGCAGTGGCAAATACAGAAGGGTTTAAAAGATTAATTGGTCATAAAACTGAAAGTGAAGTTAATTCAAAAATCCCATTACAAAGACCTGCTAAAACTGAAGATATTGCAAATACAACTGTCTTTTTATTAAGTCCAGCGGGGGAATATATCACTGGTGATAAAATTGTTGTTGATGGTGGTCAATGGCATTTAGGTAATGGAATTTCTGAAGGTTATCCAAAATTAATTAAAGAAAGATCATTAAAACCTTCAAAATTGTGATTAAAATTAGCTTTATGAATGTATTTATGAAATAAAATAAAATGTTATTTGTTATGATTACATGATGATATCATAGATCATGAAACTTATTAAATTATATTAAAATCTTATTATATATAAATTAATCAGATTTTTTTAATTTTGC